GAGTAGGAGTGCAAACTACAAAGTATAAACAAAACTAAAACTATAAAGTTTTCATCGTCAAAACGTTTGGTATTTGTAGTTTGGGGATAGAATTTGAAATATTAAGTTCTTTAAATTAAAGGCTCAAAGCAAATGTGCCGTTACAAAAACGGTGAAAATCGTGCAGCCTTGTATAAAAAACAAGTAGTTTTTTCGTGTAGTTTCGCGTATAAAATATATTAACTTACTCATAAAACATTTTTGCAAGCTCTGAACGTAACTGTTTTGCTAATACTTTATAAAATTACGAGATGATAGTTCATTCATCGTCGGGTTTTGTTTTTCTTCAATCTGAACGAAGTGTTTTCATGTTTTTGAAACAAAAATATTTAGTTGTTGATATTTAAATTAACTGTAAATCGCCTAAATGATCGTCGAAAACATATGGTTTCAAAAGCGTTGCCTCAAGCTCAAGCAACGTATAAAAAAGTATAAAAAGTAGTTGTGTAAGTTTAAAAAGATTATTGAACTCTATTTATATTATAAAACAGTTGAAATATATTTTTTAAAACATACCTATTGAGTTTCAGTTTGTCTTGATTTTTCGTGTTTTGTTTTGGCTTGCACAACAACGTTGAAAATGTATTTTGAAACGACGATTTCTCTATATATTCTGTTCAGAACTATTGCTCTTCGTAAAAAAAACCACGGGAATGGGTTTTTCTCCATTAAAAACACTTTTTTTCCACTTCAAGTCTGGATAGAATTGTTTTTGCAAACTTTGTTGAAAAAAACAATTCGCACTCCCGGCCAGTGCTTCCATTTTTAAAATCAAAATTTCTCATTTTTGTCATCAAAATTTCTCTAAATTCCTTAGATTGTATCTGTTATTTCCTTGAAAATTCCTTGAAATTTCATGAAGCAGTTTGCAGTGATTTTGTAGCAATACAAAGGATTTAATTAATTTTCAAGGCACAAAATACCACAATTAACAAAGATATGGGCTAGCTAAAAACCACAGGCTATTATACTGTTTAAAATTAAATATTTGTTATGAATTTACAAGAGATACCTTTACATTGATATGATTAATTAACTATTCACAACGCTTGGCGCCAAAAGTTACTAAATCCCATCGCTCAAAAACGTTCTGAAATTTTCGGAAACACGAGAAAAAAGTTAAAAACAGATCTTTAATTAAAGATAATTGATAATTCACTCAAAAATTTAAAAAAAATGGAAACCATCTTCTGCACTAATGCGCTTGGATGAATATTTAGGTTTTTCGGAAAAAATCCTTAGATTTCCTTAGATTTTTTCTCTTCCTTAGATTTTCCTTTTCGACAGTAGAATTTCCTTAGAAAAGGAAATTTCCTTGAAAATGGAAGCACTGCTCCCGGCACCGCGCGAAATTCCACGCCACAGGAGTCTGGGACTAGCCAAAATGCCCTTATAAATCCGCCATTTTGTGGAGACAAAATTTTTACTGAGAAGAGATAGGAGCACGCATTCTATGTCTATTATTTCTATGATCCTAACCCACCCTGTCAGTTTTCCCTGTGGGAAGAAACCGGGGCACCTGGAAAAAAACATGCACGACTTTCATCAGAGTGTTGACAGACTCTTCTCACATGAGTCCGTAGCGAGAATCTAACCCAGGATCTCAGGTGAAAGGCTCTTGCTTTGACGACTGCGCCACCGAAGCCCCAATGAATGTGAAGCCTGGTTTGCATATGACGCCGACAGTCGCCGACTCATTGTCGGCACAGATGAGGTAAGTACAGATGTGAATCTCCTGTGAAATTGCTGATTGTTTTGTGTCACACGGAATTCTCACTTCCGGCGAGCGCTGGCAAGTGTCGTTCTGAAATTTAATAAGGAAAGAGATAGGAAAACGCCGTTCGAAAGACGAAAATTGTTTTTTTAAAAAGTCTACGCTACCGACGGCTATTTTTGGAATTAATTCTTCAAGAGTAACGGTAAGCGATCACTTTTATTGATTTCTTTTTATTAAAAGTGTTAATATAACATTTTATTTAGCAAAAGTTTGTTTTTTTCCCTATCTACTTCTTATTAAAATTGTGAAATACACTTGCTGGGAATTTCAGATGCTCGTGTATAAATAACAAAACAGCGAATGATATAAATGCCTCAAAACATAACTCTCGCATAAAAAAAACATGAATACTTCTATAATATGTATAGTTTTATTCCTCTGCATTATCAAAATTTAATAAAATAGTGAATTAATACAATTTTAAAGTTTATTTAATCCGTGTGACACATTTTCACAGGAGATTCACATCTGTATTACCTCATCTGTGTTGTCGGTAGTCATTGAAGGAGAAAATGATTTCAGATACACAAGGCCAAAAAAAAATGTGGGTTTCCGGTTTCTTCTGATAAAAACTTAGGTAGGGTAGGTCGGTTTAAACTTTTTTTTTTAAACTTTTTTTTTTATTTTCCTAACAACCGGACGCCATTTTGTTTAGTCAGTGCTTCCACATCCAAAGATAAATTTCCCTAATATTGCCTCAAATTTCAATTTTCCACAATTTTTTCCTCTAAGTGGAAACACTTACAAGCATGATCCAATAAAAAAGTTTAGGGTCGGGATTTCGACGTCCAAAAGCTAGTTGGGGCCGGGAAACCGGAAACCCACATATTTTTTTTTGGCCCAAAGGATTTTACTCATGAGTAATCACCGACAATGGAACTCGCCGACTGTCGGCGTCATATGGAAACCAGGCTTTACAGCGAGCAATAATCTAATATAATGTTCTGTTGTCCTTTTGTTTAGCAATGTAACGATGTCGTTTTAATGTCATATCTTGCTACTATAACTAAAGGATGCAACACCATGAACGAGGTGAGCTGTGGAAATTATCATGGTTTGTTCAAAATGATTCTATTCTACAGTAACTCTAAGGCCCCAGTTACACGATACCGGATTCGCATCGGAGCTAGTCGAGCAACATCAACTAAGACGCTTTCCGGCCTCTCACAACTTTTCATATTTGACGTTTTTGACTAATTCTGTTATATTATCATAATTTTGAGTGCTAAACTCCCCTAAAAACTGTAAAATTTAATGTCGCTGATCTAACTTTTTAGTTTATCACGAAGTTCAACGTTGTCTATGACCGTCACGGAGTTGGTCGTCGGATGAGAGGACTCTTTTTTTGAAATTCACTACATCCTTAACGTCAAGATTTTGTTATAACATTTGTTGTTTCTTCTGAAGGAATTGTACATAATGGTTTATTAAACCATGATAACAATCGTGACAATAACTTGTTGGCAAACAAGATATATCATCGAACGAAACAGATCGCCGTAAAGATAAATCATTCATGATTCATGCATGAACTTTTTTGCTTGTAATGAAACGATTTACAGCCAGTGAAATAACGGTCGACTGTCCTGTCAATCTGCGTCCAAATTGCAGATTTTTCAATCAAATTTTCAGTCGTTTCAGAATCGTTTTCCGTACAAAACATAGCGATAAGTTTTCTCAAATACTTGGTTAACCAAACACATCTAAACATCCCGCTAAGAATACTGTATGACATCACAATACTTTTCTGTAACAAAACATTTCCATAATAATTACTGTAATTAATAACCATATTGAAAAACGTATACAAAGACTATTTCCCATATGCTGTATAGTATAAACATGAACGTTTGCCTGACCTGGTTTTAAAATGAACCGAAAATATGCCTGTCGACATTTGAAAAATTGAGGTCAAATTTGATCGGACTTTTTCCGGAAAATTTTGACCGTTATTTCAGGCTTTGTGATTCGCCCATCGTAAAATATTGGGCAGGAGCAGAGTGTTAAAAGACTGGTGAAAATTTAACAGAAAAATTGAACCTTATATATAAGGCCAACAGTTTGTCTTACATGACTTTCTATTTCTCGTGTCATAGCTTGAATCATAGTTATTTGGCATGCCCTTCAATAACAATTCAGTGCATGATCGCAATGTATAGTATATCGTCGCACTTGTGATGTTTTCATTATGCTACCTCGAAAATACTTGGTGGGACACTGAGGAGTTTGCACCTGTTTTGCGCAGGCTCCAGGGCACCGCACTATCGTTCTGGGGCCGGTTGTTCAAAGGTGGGTTACCGCTAACCCTGGGTTAAAATTTAACATGCTGTTTTAGTTTGTGTATTTCTGCACGTCTGTTTATTTCAAAACTTCAGAGTAGTAAACTCCTATCTATCCAGACAAGATCTCTGAAGAAATATTCCCAAATTTAAAGACATGCTTGTCAGGATGTTTGCTTTGAATTTTAGGTTAACCTAGGGTTAAGCTAACCTAGCTTTGAACAACCGGCCCCAGTAGTACTTTGTCTGGTTTGCACGTGGGACGCATGAAGCCGGCCGAATTCGAACGTAGTCAAATATACGAATTCCTGTGTGAATAAGTGGAACCAGACGAGTTTGCGGGGTATGATTCCGAATTCTCTCGGTCCCATATGAACGTAATTGTTCGTGGTATCGGTATTTGAGTTTAATAATCTACATTTTATTTGTCTGAAAATCCTGAAATCAACCTTAAAAACAACAATGTAAACAGTGTAAAATCAAGATGGTGTTCACGAGACTATAAACGTTCGAAAATAACGATGTATAAAGGCTTGAAAATATCAACATTATGTACTGCTTAAAACACGAGCAGGAGTGTTTTATCAGATATAAAACGCGAGAGCGCAGCTCGAGTTATTGGGCGAACCAATTAAGTCATGTCGAATTGTTAAATTAAGAAATTGCAAATATTGGGGAAATTTTAGCTTCCTCCTGAGACTCGCACTCGTTTCACAGCTCTCGCTTTTTCTTGCATATCACTCACGTTGATTCCTTCTGTTATTGGGTTTTACTCTGTTGCACGACGAATGTGATAAAAAATCATGTTCATTTTCTCGACTTAGACAACGTTTAGTTTTAAAATTACTTCACCAATGAACTCATCAGAATATCAGATGGGTCGTTTTTTAAGCCATTTAAAACATTCGCAGTCCGTCCTTATCAGGAGTGCAACAGAGTAAAACCCAATAACAGAAGGAATCAACGTGAGTGATATGCAAGAAAAAGCGAGAGCTGTGAAACGAGTGCGAGTCTCAGGAGGAAGCTAAAATTTCCCCAATATTTGCAATTTCTTAATTTAACAATTCGACATGACTTAATTGGTTCGCCCAATAAATCGACTGCCGTATGTGCAAGATGCAGTAAAGTCGAAGCAAATGGTTAATTGTTTTGGCACATGAAAAATACGCCGTCTAAACTATATCAGTTGTTTAAAGATAGGGTACAGTCCGGTCTGCGCATCCGCACATAGGAGTCTCCTGCCGTGATACAAACATTTTACATAATTAGTGATTATGATGTTACTCTGAGTGTATATCAACACCGCCGGCAAGCTTGAAAAATATGCCTGGCCACGGTGGGAATCGAACCTACGACCTTTAGAACACTGGCCCAATGCTCTGCCACGAAGGAACTAGACTCACTTCCGAAATATCACATACTCGAACCGTCCTGACCGCCAAAGGTCGTAGGTTCGATTCCCACCGTGGCCAGGCATATCATTTCAAGCTCGCGCCCGGTGTGGATATACACTCCGAGTAACATCGCAAGCATTATATTCACCTGATTACATTACACCAACACAGAAAAAATTCACTTTAATTAGGTTTTTATTTTCATTTTATGTTCTTGCAAAGACTGATTGTTGCATCTATCAATTCTGTAGAAGCATGAAAATATAAGTAGTTGTCGAATAAAGTTCAATATTTTGAATACCGAAATGTAAACAAACGGCTTTGTTTACATACGGACTGTACTTTACTGTACTCTACAGTCTCTACCTTAATTTTAAATCTAGTAGTGATGGGCGATTACCGATTACTTGGTATCGACACAAAATAGAGAAGGGCAGAAGGTTCACTCGAGTCGGAACCTTTGAAGTTTTTGTGCCGGCACATGTTACTTCCGGATCCTGGCCGCCATGTTGAAAGCAACCAACTCTGGTCCAAAACATTATTTAAATCGCTTAGGTGATTATCGCGTAATAATCATCTCAACGGTCACCAATCAGCGTGGAGAATTTGCAATAATCACCTATGTAATTATACTAATTAACAATTATTCGCCGAAGGCGAGGTGATTATCGGTGAATAAAAACCGAGACGAAGTCGAGGTTTTTATTCACGATAATCACCGAGCCTGAGGTGAATAATTGTTTTAGTATAATTTCATGGGTGATTATTTGGAAAAAAATAAAGAAATGCACATTTCTTCGTCTTTTAATTGACAAAACGGCTTCGGCCGCCATTTTGAAAATCGCTTAGGTGATTATCGCGTAATAATCATCTCAACGGTCACCAATCAGCGTCACAGAATAGGAAGTTATACCAGAAGCGTAACTCTAGTCGTTTCCCTTATTGTTTGACGTCCACGAAAATTTTAACTCGCTCACGTCAGGCCACGCCATCCTGGCTAGTACAGCCGGAAGTTTTTATCAGGATTTGGTAGGTACAAAGTGCCGGTTGTACTAGCCAGGATGGCGTGATTGATGACGAATCGCTTGTAAAAACGCGGACAAATATTTGCTCGAGTTACGCCACAGAATAAGGTACACAGAAGGTCGACTCGAGTAACGCTGCCACGCCATGATTCATCATCAAAATGCTGACGCCATGGTCCTAGCCAGTGCGGGTTTGAGAGGCATTTCCCCCCTGGACATCCGCCATTTTGAATAATATCAGGGGGGTGAATGCCTCTCAAACGCGCACTGGCTAGGACCATGGCGTCAGCATTTGATGACGAATTACGGGTTACGCCTAGCCTGCATGGCAGGCGGTACGTAGGAAATACCGCCTGCCGCAAAACTGGGTGTAAATGAACTACCGCCCCTGAAGCATCAACGCTATTTATAGATGCATTAATTAAGTAAATATTCAAAATTAGCCACTCCCAAGCTGCTCCCATTGATTCTCATCACCGCCCGACTGAATTTTAAAATCCTCGTGAAAACGTTTTATTTTTCGTTATACAATATAAATGTACCGCCCGACAAAATAATTCAAGACAGTTAATTTTTTCATATTTTATATAGAGTTTTTATTGCCATTTTAAACTTCAATTTGAAACAAACAGAATTTTGAGTGAAATTTCATTGTATTTTAAAGAAACTCAGTCATTCTGTCATTGTTTGTGGAGATACGAACTATTGATATATAAATTATATAAATATAAAATATAAAAAATAAATCTCCCACTGTCTTCGACATTTCAAAGTGTAGACTGTGTCTAGTGATGAGAATCAAGGAATTTATTTTATGTGTTAATATAAACCAAGCCCGTTTAGCCGTTTAGCTGCCTTAAAACGGTGGTTTAATAAGCTCAAAATACAAAGCATGCAAGTCTATACTATAGATTCATCATCAGTCAACAACCAAACTGAAAGTATTGAACCTTATAGAACGATAGTTTTTATTTGTTTACAACTATACATATTCAACGGGTATATAAGAGTTTAACTGTTATTTGATAATTACTGCATCAACCGGCCCCTTGTTTATACTTTGGAGGTTCGTATATATTAATATCTATCAAGTATCTTTGGTTCAGAACATGACTGATAGGCCTATATGGAAATCCCACTGTTCGATTCAGTGAAGAAATATCTCCTAATTTCTATCGATAGTTTTAGTAAAATGTCAACATTATTGCGATTTATGGCCTTTGAAAGTCAAGCGAGATAGTATATTATCAAATTAATACGCATGTAATTGTCTGAACGAAAATATAGACTAGCCCATACCTTTCGCCGATCATAACTTCGGCCCCTTCGGACGTATCTTCTTTGTTAAATATTCTTGTTCGAATCTCTATCAATAACACTTATTTTATTTAGAGTGTTATTTTTCAGCTTGTATCTTTTAATTTGCTTCTTTTATTATGTTATTCCATTTCTGGTCTGACTTGACGTGAACTAATTTCAAAACGCAGAGTTTCAAAACGTCAAAACATTTGGTTAATGATTAACATTTAACCGAATTTAGCCGTTGATTGACAACTACATAAAAATACTAACCAATCCGTTTTTCCCGTTCACCAGCGGACGGGTAATTCAAAAACCCCTAGTTTTGCGGCAGACGGTATTTCCTTTGCTTCCCTAATTTTCGCTGCCCGTAGAAATACCGCCTGCCATGCAGGCTAGGTTACGCCAAAATCATAGCAAAATCATAGGAAAAACAAAGAAGTCGGCCTTCTGTGTACCTTATTCTGTGGTTACGCTTCTGGTATAACTTCCTATTCTGTGTCAGCGTGGAGAATTTGCAATAATCACCTATGTAATTATACTAAAAACTAATATGGCGAAACTTGTATTTCATAACTTTAAATGGGTATATCGTCGTTATTTTATGGTGGATGTCATTGAAATTTTCAGGACGTACAAAAGAAAGGTAGATTATTCATTTTATTATAATAAAAGCTTATTGAATGATGCTAAAATTGTCATTTTAAACGCAGCAAACTGTATGTGCTGTTTTGGCACCGATGGATATAACACATTTATATGTTGTTTTTCTGAGTGTAGTTTGAAACTATTGCAACTACTATGAAGAAAAATGCGTCATGTCTTGTTTTTAGAACGCAGTAGGTTGAATTTTTTTAATTTTAGGCGCATATTATACTGTGAATATCCTTATAATTCGTACTACTATTCGTACTAAATTATATACCTGATCAGTGAAAGGGGATGTGAGGTCTTTGTATTGGGCTTCTTTTCTTAATTAACAAAAACGTTTTTGGACTTAGTTAAGTAAACTGCGCGAGTAGAATCCATTTTCACCAGAACTGGTTTATAATTTGTAACTTTGATATTAAACTTTGATTGCTGGTAGTTAACAGTATAAATGAGTACGATATTTGTTCACATCTGTATCAAGCAATTGATGGTGGAGCAGACTAACTTGCCAGAAGTTACAGTTCATGACCCAAAATTGCAACACACCAATCTCATGTAAATTTACTCAGCAAGCACCATCTTAATTAATGATTTCACCTGTTTGTAGCATTTATTTCAACACGATTAAATTCACAGCATAGCTGATGTGGTCGTGCATTTACATAGTTATGTGCCTAACCCACCCTGTCAACTTTCCCTGTGGGAGGAAACACGGAGTGCCCGGAGAAAACCCACGACTTTCGGCAGAGCATTGACTTACTCTTTTCACATTAGGACTGGGTTCCAGTCACAATGAGAAGTCCTCATCGAGATTCGAACCTGCGGCCTTAGAGGTGAAAGGCAAGTGCGCTAACCACTTCGCCACCGAAGCCCCACCTGTTATCAATTACCATCAGCATTGTTAGGTTTACCATCCTAGTGAAGGAGCTAGACTAATTAAGCTCCAAAATAATAAAATATTGCACATTCAAACTGTGTAGCTCAGTCTGGAATGCATTGGTCTTGTAAACCAGAGGTTGTGGGCTGCATTCTTACTGTGGTAAAGTTGATTTTTCAGCTTGCCTGGTATAGATTTACTCAGTGTAGCAACATATTAGTAATTTCTCCTGTGTATTATTACCATCAATATTAGATTTAACACCAGCCTTGTATCTTACAGTTCAGTTCTTATGTACTTGGTGTAAAAGATTTTAAGCAATATAACTTGTAGAAGTTATATTGATTAATTGTTTTGGCAACACAGCATATTGTCCAGTGCACAAGGTTAAAGATGCGCTACCTTCAAATATTTTCTGTTCTTCTTTTTAGTGTTGGAAAGTTCACGATTGGCAAATTTCAAGCTGTAGTAAATGCACAACCTCAAAAACAATTTTTGTATCTTTCATGATTTAGTCTAGAAAGCAATTTGTTGGAACATGAAGACCTTCAAATGTGTTTTCTGTTTGATCAAAGGCCTTAAAGAAACAAAACTGTTATCATCTAGGTCATTACATTGGATGGCATTTGTGCATGTAGGACAGTTGCAGATCTTAAAGTGCCTATGCAACGAATTTTTCACCTCATTTTTTATTGTTTTTTAAAAAGTACAGCTGGAGTGATGAAGAATGACGTTTACAGTTTCGTCATATCTCATCTCGTTCTCAAGTTATCACACTTTCTATATTTTGAGTTGTGACGTCACAAGTATGAGTTGAGATAATGGCAATAACAAGAAAGTATGATATCTTGGTGAGTATTTAATAAAATTCAATGAAACTTGGTACACTTAGTGGGTGCACTCATATGAATATTTTTGGTAGGTCACGTGGTTGTCATGGCAACACACTAGTCCCCAATCTCTTCACTTCCTTTCACAACTTTCCTCCCGTAGACCTCTTGCAGAGGATGTTTACATATTATAACGGTTTAAACTGATCACAATACCTACACGTATTATAGTAATAAGCGAAAATTGCAGAAATTGCTATTTATTTTGTTGAAAATGAATCATATAGAAATTGGAAGAGAAGGGACTGGGGACGAGTGTGTTGCCATAACAACCATATAAATGAGCCAAATTGTTGACTTAGCTGCACCCACTAAGTGTACCAAGTTTCATTACATTTTATTATATGCTCACCAAGATATCATACTTTCTTGTTATTGCCATTATCTCAACTCATACTTGTGACGTCACAACTCGAAATATAGAAAGTGCGATAACTTGAGAATGAGATGAGATATGACGAAACTGTAAACGTCATTCTTCATCACTCCTGCAGTACTTTTTAGAAAAACAATAAAAAATGAGGTGAAAATTTCGTTGCATAGGCACTTTAATAGATTTATGGATCTAAACTCAAATTTATGGAACTAAATTATATGGATTTATGGAACTAAAATCAAATTAAATATGGATTGATAATATGGATAAAAAATACGGATTTATGGAACTAAAATCAAATCAAAGTGTTGTTTACATTTTTGGGGTTGTACAACTTGTACATAGTAGAATACACTAGATGTTAAAGTTTCATTTACTTGGTTCCCTTTGTAAAAAACAACACTACAACTTACATGCACCAACATCCGATTTGTTGCAAGTTGAAACCAGTTTTATTGCCTGATATATTTTACTCTGCCAACAAGTCTTAATAACTAAGGGGCTATTTACATGAGCCTGACTAGTCCTGTTAACCGAGGCACCCAGCTTAATACAAATCATTTAACAAGAATCTGCCTAGCCGAGATCTCACTTGAGTCAAAGCAGGGGCGGATCTAGGGGTCGTCAAACCAGTCACGCGACTAACATAAAAATTGCAAACTTAATTAAAGTCTTAAATATTCGACCAATAGTCCAGTTATTTTTTATCATGCAGCGACACCTTATAATAGTCCAGTATCTATTATCATACAGCGCTAGCAATTAACATTCTAATCGAACTGTAGTCCAGTGATCAAATTTCATACAGTGGCTGAGCCGACGAGCTTAGTCAAGTCAATGAGCAGCTGACATACGCAAAGTCGGTCAGTCAAAAAGTCAAAATCCAGTGTTTTGATTGGTCTAGACGCTTATTGCCATGGAAACAAGCATTTTTTTCGCGATTTTGACTGATCTGTGGGGGAGTTCTGACCGATTTACAAAAGTCAGGGGCGCTCCATTAGTCGGAATATCAATAATATTTGACGCGTGGTAAAGGCTTTCCGAGCGCGCGCTCATTCGAAGTGTCATGTTGTAGCTTTGTCGAAAGATTCAATTTAAAGATATCTACGGAAAATTCGGAAATGTCTGCTGCTTCAGACTCCAGTCCTTGTAGTATTTACGAAACGGCTCAATCCGCATTTGCGGTGAATGATTGAACTGTTTTACAAGACTGTTGCGCTGATCTTGGGAGGAAAATCAACGCTAAATATCGGAGAGTTCCATTCAGTGGGCAGTCGCTAAGCGGCGTAAGCGCCACGAATAGCTGAACTACAGTTCGATTGTTTGAGTAGAAGTATTGGCGCGGAGATCTTTATTCTGAAGTGCAATAAGGTAAACTTAATGTGATATGTAAATTTCATTTCGTTTTAGACAGCATAACAATATCTATAAGCGATGTGCTCCATGCATATGTAAAATTGTAACTTGAATACGCGTATCTTGATTTAGCTATGAATTTTAATTTACACAACAAATTTGCATATTAGTAATTCTGCGGTTGAAGGTCCGTCAGAACTCAGAAGGCTGTTAATATGGAGGATAACCTATATAAATGCATTAATGCAGTGTACATAGGATATAAAGGTCAGGTTTTATAGGTGAATGTTAAGACTTTATTTATGTTTATTTGAGTAATATAACACTGTAGTGATTACTAAGTGATCAATGACTCAACAAGGCTATATATATACTAGGTTACCCACAGGGCAGTAATGCTGCCTTTGACAGCAAAAGACAAACTACAGGGTCACCCTAGGGTGTTGAACGAGTCCTTGAGAAACATCCTATTATTGTTTAGCCTGCATGGCAGGCGGTTCCTAAAATTGGGCAAGCCTGGGAAATACCGCCTGCCATGCAGGCTAATTATTGTTATCCTTGTTAACCCATTGATTGACAGTAACCTACCACTGACTGAGTATTAAAAATCGTCTGGCGTTGGACAGCGTAAATACTAAAGTAGGGGTCATTACTGTGCTGATGAATTAACAAGAGCCATTGGCAGATAGGTTTGTTAACCCATTTACTGGCAGTACCCTATACCACTGACGAGTAAAATCTTCTGGCGCTCGACAAGGGAAGGGCGCATTGCCAGCTAATGGGTTAAACCACCGTGGTTAAACATAAGATTTCATGATGCTCCAGGAAATGTAAACAAGTGATCAATGACTCAACAAGGCTATATATATATTAGGCAACAAAAATGAGTGTAGTACTATCATGAGCTAGTTAAACATAATAATAGCAACCCGTAATTTGGTAAAATGAAACATCTTCCACAATTATCACATTTCTGCAAGTACTTCTCCTTTACTTTTCCCTAAGGAGTGAGTTGTGAGAGTCAGACTGATAGTTGCTATAATTATCTCCCATTTCATGAAGTTAATTTTTTGTTGAAGCTGCTTTCAGAGTGATGCAAATTGCGTTTCGGAGGTTTAAAAATATAAAAATTCCTGGGGAACAGACCCCCCTAGGTGCTTCGCGCATTCGCCACCCACAAACTAGATTGTACATCCGAAAACTTTGACTAACGTACGAAAAATCCTGGATCCGCCCCTGAGTCAAAGGGGATGCCCGGATAACCGGGCTGAAATTTTCCTATGTAAAGTCACCAGCTCATGTAACATGGCTACCCGGGCTCATGTAAACAACCCCTAAGGTGATAGCAACAATAATATACTTGGTGGCATTTTTAGCCATCTTAGGTTATTTCGGGAAGCCAGTACCCTACTTTTATTATAATTAATTTTTCTTATAATCCATGTAGTATTTTAACAAATGGGTACAATAAAGTGTATTGTATTGTATTGGTGCTAAATGTAACATAAACTTGAGTAACAGAGAAAATTCTCATCTTCAGATTATTTTCCCCTCATTGTAGAGTAAACTGTTAATATGTATCTTAAAAACTAGAGTGTATATTAGAATCTCACAGATTTATAGTTTAAACTGTCATTAAGATAAATCAGGTCTTTTATTGTCTGTTTTGTAAATGAGGTTCCTTGATAATGTCAAAGGAGGCCTTGTCAGTTGTGACTTGACACACTTGTGATACCAAATTTGTGGTCACAGCTAAAGGATTTTAATAGGTTCAAGTCAATATATTATCCCTAAAATTTATTTTAGAAGAAGAAGTAGGTCTAGCAATTTCTTTCATATCGCAATATTATTTTATACGATTGCAGGCCGCCAATATGCCAAGTTGAATTACACTGTATTGAATAGTTGATCACAGATTCACTGAAGGTCCGATGAACTGGATTTATTTCCTTCATTGTTATGGCATTCAGGTCCTTGATCTTTTTGTACACCATAAAATATCACCAACTTATCACTCAAAACATATTTTACGGCGATCGGACTAACCACACATAAGCTATATAACTTTATATGTTTATCACTATTCGCCAAAGACCGAGGTGAAATTAATCGATGTATGACAATGGCCAAATTCCACGCTTAAATTCGTTTCTCATCCTCGTAGTGAAAATTAAATCAAAGAACAACCTCTTCTTTATGATATTTCAAAGTATCATGAGTTTTGCTTGGATACATAAAAAGCTAGAGCACTTTTAGTGGCTCTATTTCGTATTCCGCCATATTAACTCCTATAAAATTTCCTCTGGTTCTCAAGGTTTGGTTGCTTTCAACCATAGATATAGGAGACCTAGATTGCTGACTCTAATGTTTTCTATAACGCACGAGCGTGACACTCATGAGCATTCAAAATGGCGGCTCAACCGGGCAAAAATCATAGAGCGAGATAGGGAAAAACCATGTTTTTCGCATTTTACGCCTGCCTACTGTTTCCTATCCCGTTGAACCACCTTTTTTGGGGAAGAACTAACTGGTGTGAAGGTTTTGGATGAATATTTGTACAATTTAAGTTGAATAAAGACGAAATAATCGATCGCTAAATGTTTTCTGAAAATCATCACATGGTCGGTTGAGCAGTTCGAGACATTTTGTTGCAGAAAACAAAGGTTTTGGTTCTTTGGGTGCTTTTTTTCTCGAGGATCTCGGTTGGAATATAAAACAGGGAATAATATTGTGAAGTATTTTGAAGTTAAAACCTATTTTACTTGATTTATTTGGTCTGCTGGTGCGAAAATTCTGATGCTCTGTTTAGTGTGACTTTGACAACCTCCTTGCTGCTGCAGATGTCAAGGGATCTCAAGTCTATATGGCCTGGACGGTGAAAAGTGATGAATCAATCAGGTTTGTAGAGAGAACTAGTGACAGCGAAAGTTTTCAATGGAAACTAGTTTGAAGAAACTGACTAATTTGTCTGGTATGCATCAAAAACCTTCACAGTATCTAGTTCTCTCCAAGAAACCTGATTGATTCATCATCGATAATCAAAAATAGATGGGACGGCATCTTCGTTTAGATATTTCTTGGATAAGTTGGATTGGCCTTTTATTGATTGCTCTCCACAATCAGCACTCTCCCCTTCAGGCACTCTCCCCTTGAGACAGCTGACTTAAGCATCAGCACTTTCCCTTGACGAGTAAAATTGTCTGGCGTTAGACAGAGTAAAATAATAAAATAGGGCACAAAACGACTCAATGGGTTAACTAGACACATGGGCAGATAGGCCAGTTAACCCATTAAGTGCCACTACTCTCCCCTTGATGAGTAAAATTGTCTGGCGTTAGACAGAGTAAAATAATAAAGTAGGGCGCATTGCAACTCGATGGGTTAATATAATCATCGGGTGTGAAGTGTTTCTCACACAAGACAGGGTTTGTACGGGTCCTGGAAAGTCATGGAATTTCAATATTCCAAAATCCAGGCCTGGAAATCCTGGAAAATCAAAATTACTTATTTCAATTTACCAGTCATAACAATAATATGAATTGCTGTTTTCAATTTACCAGTCATAACAATAATATGAATTGCTGTTATATAACAGATTTTTGCAAGAGCGAAGTGAATTTTGTTCTTTTACTATTATTATACTGTTATCGTTAAAATATTAACAAATTTCAGAAATTCCAGACTTCCAGGTCATGGATTTTGAAAAAAATAGTCATGGGAAGTCATGGAATTTTAAATCGGAGAAAGTGTGCGAACCCTGACAAGACTGGATATTTGATTGGCATCCAGTCTGCCCATTTCATTTTTTAGCAGGCTGGGATTGGTTATAGGAAATCCAATAGTGCAAAGGGAAAGATGTATTTTTGGTTCACTGATGTGAACAAAAGTAAAACATTTTTGACCTTGAACAGGACAAGGACCTCTATGACAGTTGTTGTCAACATGCATATATATATAGAGAGAGAGACTCCTAACACAGATTGACACAGACATCAAAACAAGTTGTTTGGTCTAATATTCTTTTATTAAAACTGTAAATAGTTTTATATTGTAGCTAGCAAACTCAAAACTACATTTGTTGTGACGTTGTCATTACAGTATTTACAAAACAAATTGTTTTATTCTATTAATATTAAACTATTCTGTTTATATGATGTAAGTTATAGACTTTATATAGTGTACAAATATATGATGTGTGTGTTTCATAGACTTACTTATGGAAGGAAAAGCGAATACCATCTTTTAAATCCCCACGTCTGCCTTGCACTAATACGATGAACACGATTCAGGCCGACATTCAAGCATTCTTTTCGATAAACCCCCCCCAGATATTTTAATAGAATAGAAAGCCCTAGAATTTTCAGATGAAAATACTGTATTTTGGTCGAAATAACAATGAAAGAACAAAATAAACAGTAGTAGCTTTTGGAATAGTTAGATATATATCACGTTCGCTTGAGAAAAAACTCTGAAGGAATACACAGGAAAAAACCGAAGACGAAAAGCGCGCGAAACTGCAGGCCTGCCCAATCTTGCCCGCTTGAATTGTAATTTGTAAATTGTATTGATTGTAACACATATTCATCCAAAACCTTCACACCAGTTAGTTCTTGCCGAAATAAAGTGATAGAACGGGATCGGAAGCTGTAGGACGACGCAAAATGCAAAAAACATGGTTTTTCCCTATGTTGTTCTATGATTTTTGCCCTGTTGAGCCGCCATCTTGGATTTTCAAAATATGTCACGCCGGTTGAGCCGAGTCAGCAATCTAGGTCTCCTATATCTATGCTTTCAACATATGGCGGCCACACCGGAAGTCGGCCCACATTCTGGCACACTTTTTACCCTTGAGTGAACCTTCTGCCCTTATCTCTTCTGTGGTGTCGATACCACCCGATACCAGGCCCAAATCGGAAGTAATCGATACTGCACGGTGTCGAAAAAGTGTTTTGTCTTACTTTTAAATTTAGACATTCATTATAATTCTGTAGTTGTGTCATCGTTTTCATGGCTATTTCTAATAAAATTTATGTACTTTTTTGTATTTTGTTGCATTTACCAATTTAATCAAACTTTCCTTTACTTTATTTGACATTCTATCCACTTCCCTTCTTCCCTGATTAATTAATATTCCAGACTTCGTCGACAGAATAAATTATGAAAAAGGCGGGAAATAACTTATAATGGCGGAAAATTCTGAAATACAATCGTCGTCGTAGTAATCGTTTGGATAATCGATACCTCGATACTTTTACGAAAAAGTAATCCGTTTCATCCTCGTCCCCAGGCCCAAGCTCGGGCGGCCCTCACAGTGGCCCTGGTTCAGGCTGTTGAGCAGTTGATTGTGATTGACTCTTTTGCTCTAAAGGAATGTTGCGGGTGGGAAGGAAATGCAGGTTAACAATAAACAATGGCTGGCGTGAAGAGTGGCAATTATTATAAACTGGTATTAAATTATGGTAGAAATCAGATATTTACATGTAAATTTTTGCTGAAATTATGATATGGACAAATTCAAGACTGCTGGAAACTAACTACATGGATATTTGAAGGATTAAATACATTTGAAACGAATTGAATGATAAAGTTCAAGACTCGGATTATCAGTCACATTCACGACTATGGAAATTATATATTGTGTACGCAACATCTACAAGATTATTGTGTAAATTGTCGCCCTCCACCTATCTGTTTGCATCAACGCAATTTTATACATTGTACTTGACAATTTGAAGAGTCTAATTTAGAATGTAATCTACGAAAATTTAGTATTTATCAAGTACTTGATACACGAAGTTAATGGAAGCATTTTGTTCTGTTTGCACAATCACAATGCACAGTTCACAATGGAACCAGTGTTGTTTGAGAACCCCAAGCTCGACTGTTTAATACCCAAGGTGAAAAGCTGGCTTTTCACACACAAAATGTTGAAGTGATTTTGTAGATGGAATTAAATTATTTATCCAAACTATTGAATAAATTTATCCAAACTAGAATACAATCAGTAACAATTCATGATTATATTTAAGTAATTTAACCAGTTATGTGTCAAGTCTAAGCTTATTTCACCATAAGAAGCATTTTAGCTACCTGTTGCTAAAGTTTGTTTAATTTAACACTGTCACTGAAACATTTTATTAATAAATACACCCTTCTGGAAAGTACATCACTTTGACTGTTCAGGTTCTGCAGTATGACATATCATCCTATAGGAAATTTATCCTAATTTCCTATAGGAATAGTAAATGACACACAATGTTGTTCATCACTCTTAATTTTTTAATGCAAAAATATATATATATATATATATATAAATATTAAAAAATACATATATTACAAATTAATATAAATATTTATACGAGAAATTGGTTATACTAAACATTACAGAATACAGATTAATTATAGTTTTCACCTATGGTTTAATAACAAGTCAAAACAAAAACATAACCTAAAGAAAACCATTGCAATCAATTATATGTACACAAGCAACATATTTATTGACCTTTGTTATTAAACTATAGGTAATGACCATAATTGACATGTAAAGTTAATTACATTAACCCATTAAGCTGCAGAGCTTCCCCATTGACGAGTAAAATCTTCTGGCGCTAGACAAGTAAAAAATAAAAAGGGCGCACTAGGGCACATTGCGGCTCAATGGGTTAACTACAGACATTGGCAGTTTTTTATCAACCCATTAAGCTGCAGAGCTTTGTGGGCTATCCCTATTGACGAGTTAAACCGTCTGGTGTTAGACAAGTAAAAAAAATAAGTAGGGCACACTCAGGGACGTACACAACCGGGGGGTGGGGGCAACTGCCCCCCCCCAGAGAAAACTATATTTACGATTTTTAGAATGTCATTGTTAATTATTCTTTGGATATTTGGGACTTTTTTCGGCAAAAAGGCCTTACTGCTCCTCTGGTGAAAAAATCCTGCATATGGCCCTGGGTGCATTGTGGCTCAATGGGTTAAAATTTGCCTTGAGCAAAACATAGTCCTCAAATAAGTTATTGACTACTCTAGTTAAAAACAAGCAACAAGTCACTTGTAACATTACTCAATAAATATTTTTATATACTAAATGTTTTTTGAATATGCCCCTTTTGCAAATTATTTGCTGGGCAATAATATTTTTAATAACTAGCCTGGTGTTTCTGTTTTTGACTATTGTTCTTGTTTGCCTTTCTGCACTTTGCAACACTTTACAGTGTTGTTTTTGTCCTCATGTGTTGGCGAACCTCTGAGGCCTTACATCCATACTTTGTTGATACATACTGTAAGCTATAAAAAGACAAATAAATTTATTTAATAATGCATACATTTTGATACAGCTGCTGATAACAGAAAAATAAGGGAAACATTTCCCCAAGACCCTAACATGGCAAGTACACTTAATAGTGATTGCTTAATGCTAATTATATTTTCAATAAACTTTCCAACCAGTTGGTTTTTAGGCA